CAAAATTTGCCAAAACTTTTTATCAAAAGCATTATCAAACAACCCTATATACTTTTGTAAGACGTAAATTACCTCAACTAAAATTTAATTATTCTCGTGGTTGAACTTAGGGTTGAAAGAAACCAAGCGTAGTTTTAGGAGGGTAGATGTGATAATTCGAGAAAAATCCAATTTAAGATTAATTTTGTGTTGAGAATTTATACATTCTTCGTTATTCTTCTTAATAATTTAAGTTTTTAGACGAAATGATTCAATATAATATAGAGCATACAAAAACCTTAAAAAGATAGGAAAGGTTTCTGATTTGCGTGTAATATTATTTTAATGAAAAATGTGTGGTTGAAAAAAAAAAGAGAGAAAAAAAAGTATTTCTAAAAAAAATGAGAATCAAACATGAATAAAAAAAACTTGAATAATGCACAAAGTCTAATTTTAGTGGGCGGCCTTTCATAATCCAAGGGCTGAGTCTACTAGTTTAGGTTTTTGGCACATAGGCTAATTAAGATCCAATAAATTGAAAGATTTCAATCTTAATCTTTAATTAATTCCTGAGTGGAAGATTCATCACTAAGCAATAGATCGATTGAATCACGTCTAACTGCTTAAATTTTAACTTAAATAATTCGATATGATATTAGTAAGAAAACCTTATATTTTCAAAATTATAGAAAGTAGTTTACTCAGAAAGAGTAGGAGACATTAGCACAGAATGAGAATCACAAAGCGAATCTTGTCACTACCTAAATATTAATCTTTGACGTGCCAAAAATTCGAGAAAAGTGAATCTAGTTGGGCATTAAAAGGGCTCGTCGATGTAAATGTAACTAAATAAATTTTTCTCGTGTATTACCATTTAATTTTTCTCATGTAAATGTAACTAAATAACTTTTGGTGAAAAAATGAACATATAACGTTTGCATGTGGAGAACGCTGAACAATTTAATTTTTTAGATGAAGTAGTTGGATCACGATTAAAAAAACATACAAAATTGAAATAGTAAATTAATTTTCAAAATTGTTTTTTCCTGTAACAGGTAAATGGTATATCAATTATGCTACAAGTACATTGTTTTTGACATAAAGTTTGACATTGTACTACATGTTGCAGTACGATTGACCAGTTTGAAAATACAACACACTTTCCTGCCACTCCATTTTTGAATTTGCAAAGGAGTGTCAAACTTCATGTACACAAAGAGTGTACAAAGAGCATAATTCATGGTATATATGTGGATCAGATCATTGGACTAGCCAGCAAAAAATAATATTTCTGAAATAAAATTGACCAGTTTGTCCTATTCAGCAAGAGAAAAATAATTTTAATCCTAATTGCACTCAGTCGTTCCAAGAAGTCATCTGTATGTTTATGGATTCTTATAGGTGTTTCCATTGGATAATTTAGTAGAGTGCCGTGAATT